ACAAGTGCCAAGGTGAAGCCTGCAGAATTGCTTTTCCCTCCAGGAGCAGCGCTGGGCTGTTCAAATCACAGACAAACAGTATCCCACATTATGATTTTTAGTTCACAAACACTTCTTGTAATGACTAACTACTCCTGACATTTTGGAGATATTAGCTCTTTATACAGTAAAGTTACAGTGGGATACAAATAACATCAGGCTGATCCTGCCACGATTTGTTCCCTCGGTTCAAATCACGGAAAAACGGTTTCCCACAGTTTTTAAACCCATTTTACACAGAGAGGCATTTTTTTGAAAAATGTATTGATAGCTATGTTGAATATTATTACACAGGAAAACGTCTCATTGAAATAAGTGTAATCTTCCTAATCAGCTAGTTTTCTGCTAGCAACGAGCGAGTGCTGCAACCTTTAAACATCTCCTGCACTAGACAACGACATGCTGAGTTAAACCCGGCAGAGAGGCCCTTACAGACAGGTTTGCATCTATAACATTTAGCAGACCTGAGCTGCAACTGATTCAGTTTTAGAGTCGCTGTGAGATCAGAAATTCTTAGAAATGAAAGCAGATCCAGCTGCTCGGTTCACGCGTGGTCTGCAGTTGTGTTCTGAAGCTTTAAGTCATGTGCCTTAGATTTGTGTTTCTTATACTGTAAAAGGAAAATAAATCACGTGCACAGTCTAAGACGTGACGCTGTTTGGAGATGGTTGCAGCAGATTCTCCTTCCGGGTGTAAACGTCACTTTCAGAGTGGAACAAAAAAAAAACAAAACCTTGACTCCACATGACTTCATTCTCACCTGGATGAAAGCAGAGTGTTGATTTTATTCTGCCAACAGCTTCAAAATGTGTTTATCAGATGACAAAAGGTGTCAGTGCAGCAGGATCCACAAAATCTGAAGCTTCTCCTTCACTCCCGCTGCTGATCCAGTAGTCAATGCATTTACTATGAGTGTGTGTGTGTGTGTGTGTGTGTGTGTGTATGTGTGTGTGTGTGTGTGTGTGTGTGTGCTGTCATTTTTCCATCAGAAGTTTTGTGCCTGTCAGGCTTCAGCGCAGCGTGGGAAACATGAGCTTCCAGGACATGACAGGGGTCAAAGGTCAGCACTCACAGCTCAGAGACAGGGCTTTCTGACTGTCACTGAACACCCTGGCGACCAGCTGTCAGTCACTGTGTGTCAGAGGTCAAAAGTCACATTGGAGAGGGGCTGAGTGTGATGGCCACACAGAGAGGAAAGGTCCAGATTTACCTGCCTGGACCAGTTCACCTGTGTCTAAACTCATCTCTGGTGATATTCTGGGTTTTCCCTCTCTTTCTGTAGAAATCTCATGCCGCCGCGAGCCGTCATACTCTTGGCTTAAGAACAGTCCCAGAGCCTGACGGCCGAATTTTGGCGTGAAGTCCGTCCCCACTCTGATCGTTTTCGGGACCCTCAAACACTCAGTAACTTGGTTAATCTCCTCCTTATGTGCATGATTAAAATACCCTCTGATCACAATCTGCTGCCCCCCTCCCGTTTGTCATTTCCTGAGCCAACAGGGCCGACTGGGACCCAGTTGGACGAGCGGCAAGCTCCCCTCCAATCCACCGTTTGGCAAATGGATTAAAAAAAAGGAATTTAAACTGTAGAAATATTTTATTATGATTTCACAGCAGTCTGTCCTTCGCTGTGTGCTGCCTTCAGCAGATTTTCTGACGCTGAATCACATTTACTCAAATACTTGAGGGTTGTACTCGAGCGTGTAGCTGTTAAAAACCAAAAATAGCAACATCTGTAAAGCTGCTTTTAAAACTAGGCCAGATTCTTTACATTATTGATAAATGTTGCGACGATTTCCCCCAATAAACATCAATATAGTTTGGTCTATATAAACAAACTTTATGCTTTTATTTTATTTTTTTGTACTGATTATTTTTTCCCTATAGCTTTTATTGTGTTATTTTTTTAGACATATATCATTAGATATTTAGATTTGCTTTGACTTAATTGTGATACTTGTTGACAACCAAACACAAACAAATCTAACTAACAGTAACAGTAATAATCGTGCTCAGCGTGGATCTTTTCATACCTCCGTCCTTGTGATCAGTTATCATGTCGTGACCGTCGCTCAGAGTTTTACGCAAAAACAACAAAAGCTGTCGTTCTCGTCCACGTCAACATATTCAAGAAAGAAACGACACATTGTGCTAAATGTTTGACCCGAGCAGATCATGAAGTCCAATGGGACGTGTTCCAGCGTTTCTATGTTGTAGATTATATTTTATTTTTCCTGGCATGAAAAATCAGAACATTAGTTTTCACAGATGTTTATTTTTGGGTTGAAGATTTTGGTTGAAGATGCGCCCGCTGAGATCAATTCCAGTTCACAAGATTTCCTGCAGTTTGGAGTAGGACCATAGGCAGTGTGTAAATCTGCCAGGATTTATTTAGCCTTATTTTTTTTTAAAATATTCTTTTTCCAGTTTTGGTTATTTATTTATTTTTATTTTAAAAACATGTGTTTAATTTTCACTTGTCATTATTACACTTATTTCTATTTTTATTTTGTTATTATTTTCTGTTTTTATTTTTTTTTACTGTATTTTGTGTAACGTATCGTATTTATTAATATAGTCATATTTTATGCTTTTAAATAATGCCAAATATTATTACCTTTTTTTTGCACACTTTATTCATCATTGCTGAAAGTATAATTTTTCAGTAATTTATTATTTATTTTATTTTATGTTTCATTTTGTCAGTGTTTTCGTATATAATTTTTGATCGTGATCATGTTTTAATTTTCTTTTTGCTTCTTCTCTTTATTTGTCATTGTGATTTAATCATTTTTATTAATCAATAAATAAGGCAGAGTAAAATGACGGCGTATATCATATGATGAATTCTAAACATCTGCCAGCAGCGTAACTCCGATCAGCAAAAGATAAAAAATGATTATTGCATAAATATAAAATAAATGGAGATGAGGGTAAAAGCAAAAGTTTGCTATTTTATTTATTTTATTCTTTAATAAAAAATCTCTCAGAAGTTGTCAGCAGCTGGATATAATCATGAAGGTGTTTCAGGATCTTTAGTGCCCGTGTTATTGTGAAGCCTTGTACTCAGGTACCAGAGGATGCTGCCATCATGCAGCAGGCTTACCTCAGCAGATCGCATCCACTGACTCAGAGTGGAAGCTGTTTTCAGCGTTGTTTAGTCCTTGCTTTAGCACAAGTGTCTCCATTTATTATCCTGACCAGACCCTTTTGATGCAGGAAGCGTGAGGTCTGGACTTCAGGTCTCTGTGGAGGTTGTGTAGACTCTGGGTGGCCGACCAAGAACACCTGCAGGGATTATACACTGGTCAGGTGTTCAAAACACTGAAGATGAATAACACTGATTATCCTGTTACAGTCGGGCTTTTCACGGTGTAACATATATGAGGCAGCGATGGAGTGATCAGTTCTTTGTGTGATGCAAGCAGGAAAAGTATAAGAGCTTGAAACCAAAAGTTTATTATGATTGTGTAACACAATTATTCACTAACCTGACAAACATCCTGCAAGTTTACAGTATATATACAATATGATCTATTTACAAGTTCTTTCTTTGTGCTGTAAATGTAGTTTAAATGGGGAAAAAATACAGTCTTAGCTGTAATGCCTGAGATGTGACCCAAAAGTCACAAACTGATATCGAGGTGGGTTACAGTAGAGGTTGTCAGGGCCAGATGTTCCTTGAATATCACCTAATGTGTGTTTGAATGTGTACTGGCAGCTGTTTTTGAGTTGATACTGGATGAGGCCCAAAAGTCACGAACTGAGCTTTACATGGGTTACAGCAAAGGCTGGATGAGCCAGATGTGATCCAGATGTCGATTATGTAAAAGGTTGGATGAGCCAGATGTTCCTCAAATGCCACTAAACATATAAATTGTACTTGGAGCTGTCTATGAGTTGATGCCAGAGGTGGCTCAAAAGTCACAAGACAGTATGGTTGTGACGTACAGCGAGAGTTGTTCGGGCCAGATGTTGCCCAGATGTCACAAGCTAGGCTTTGGACTGCAACTCCAACGGTTGTCAAGAACTAGATGAGGCAAAAAGTAAGGAGCTGGGATTTATGTCGGTTACGGCAGAGGTTAACGGGGCCAGATGTGGCCTAAAAGGTCAGTAATCATGTAAGGTGGACCTGTGGCTGTCCCTGAGTTGATGTTGTCAGCCAGATGTGCTCCAAGGATGACTGCAGATGTTGTTCACTTGTTTCTGAGGTAAATGGAACCTGAGAGCTCTTTGTTGATGTTTATCCGGGTTTCACGTCTTTTGTCTGTGGTTTGTGTCTTCATTTGTTTCCTGAATCGAGTGTAAAACTACACCAGTGCTCTCCCAAACCCAAACAGGACCTTGATATTGATACCAGGAGGATAATCCTGGTTTTCAGTTCCTGAAATCTGGTTTTATCTCAGTTTTCCACCAGTTACCTGCACGTTTCCACCCCTCTCCTCTCTCCTCCTCTTGGTACACTTACAGAAGACTCTGAGGAATTCACTCACCGGCTCCCCTCCCCCCACACTGGAATGAAGTGTATGAATGAGGAAGAAGAGGAGGAGAGGAAGGGAAATGTGAAGACAGGAAGAGAAAGAAGAGGAAGGATTGAAGGAAGGAAGGAAATAGAGGGACAAGATAACGAAGGAAGGAAGGATCTAATGAAGGAAAGGAAGTGCAGGACGAAGGGCTGAGATGGAGGAGTGGTGTGTTAGAGGGCGAGAGCAGCAAGCGAGCAAAGTGTGTGTGTGTGTGTGTGTGTGTGTTTGTGAGCTGCGAGCTCTGTGATTGGCTGAACCCGGCTAGATGCACCAACAGCCGAAAGAAGACGGGAACAGAGGAGAGGGAGGCTGCAGATAGAGGAGAGAATACAAAGAGCGAGCGAGTGAGGGAGTGTGTGAGGGAGTGTGTGTGTGTGTGCTACATGTGCGCTAATGCGCGTGTGTGTGTGTGTGTGTGTGTGTGATATCCAGAGGTGTGTGTGTGTGTGTGTGCGCAGCAGAAAGAGGAGGCGAGGAGGAGGAAACCTGATCTCACTCTCTCTATCTCTCTGTGTGGAATAAACGCTTAGCCCTCACCGTTATTGGCCTTGCTGTTAGCTTGCAGCGTAGCCCGGCCCAGTTTGGACCCAGTGTGATTGTGGTGGAGGTGGTGGGGATGGAGCGGTTCCTGGCCCTGCTACGTCTGCTGAGCAGGAGGAGGCGAGGGAGGAGGTACCGGGCGGATGATGATTACCAGGAAGGCTACGAAGACGTTTACTACTACACCAGCAAGTACAACACACACCTACTGAGTGAGTGAGTCCCATAAAGAAACAATGGAGAAAGGGAGAGAGGCTTTGTTTTATTGTCCTACTGTAGAGCGAGTGAGGTAGAGAGATGATGCAGAGAGAGAGAGAGGGGCTTATCAACAGATTATGGCACTCAAAGTGGCCTAGATTGTGTTGGTGTGCGCTGTTTTAAATGTATTGTGGGGACTCGAGTGTGTTTACTTTAGTGCTCTGTGGGGACCTCCTCAAGGGGACAAAATTGCTGTAATTTCAGGGACGATGATATTACAGGTAGCTCGACTCCTCAAAAGTAAAAGAAATCCAATGAGTGTGTGTGATGTCTTTTAATTTTTGTGTTTTAAGGGGGAAATATATGCACTAATTTTTCTGTAATGTGGAGTCCCAACTTCCTTCAGGGGACAAACGTAAATCCTCTGAAGCGATGGAAATACAACTCCATGGGTGTGTGCTATTTTAATTTGTTTCCTGGGACACTGGCTTGTGGGTACTTTCTTGCACTCCACCTCCCCCGTAAGGTGAGGGAGCAGATGTCAGGGTGAAGACTTTCAGGGTTGGCTCGAGACCTTTAAAGTGGTGGAAATATTTAGAGTGTGAAGTCTTGTATTTATGGGTTACGTGGAAGCACATGCGGACAAAAAGCGAGTCCTATATATAGTAATGATATAATGGGGGGGGGGGCTGTAGGTGTGTCTTATTGTAATTGGTTTGACGTATTTGTGTTTGCTCTTCTTACACTGTAGGGACTTGACTTCCTTATGGGAACAAAAAATGAGTCTAAATAAAGAGTGAGCCCTATGAAGGGAAAACCACCGTAATCGAGAAAATTTCAGGTTGAAGGCTTGGAATGGTAAATGGTAAATGGCCTGCATTTGTATAGCGCTTTTCTAGTCCATAGGACCCCAAAGCGCTTTACACTACATTCAGTCATCCACCCATTCACACACACATTCACACACTGGCAATGGCAAGCTACATTGTAGCCACAGCTGCCCTGGGGCGCACTGACAGAGGCGAGGCTGCCGGACACAGGCGCCACCGGGCCCTCTGACCAGAGGAACTTAGAGCTAGTCCAATTTGAGGGAACTAAAATGAGTTCCCAAGAGGAGATGAAGACTTTGAAGTTTGAATTAAACTCGATGTCCTCATGGAGACAAAGCTCGAGTCCCTGTAAGATGAAGGAACAAATTTCAGGGTTAGCAGTGTGTGTGTGTGTGTGTGTGTGTGTGTGTGTGTGTGCGTGTGCGTGTGTGTGTGTGTGTATGTTTTTGCTTTTTTTTTTACTGTGAAGACTCACCTTGGTTCAGTGTAGAAGTTTGAGTCCTCTTAAAGGTGATGGAGTAAAGTTCAGGGTGAAGACTTTGAGGTTAGTCCTGTGAAGGGATGGAAATACTGCTCTTCTCACTGTGTGTGTGTGTGTGTGTGTGTGTGTGTGTGTGTGTGTGTGTGTGTGTGTGTGTTTTTAAGGTCTTGTATTATAGATGAAGGTCGTTAGTGAAGCTGCTCAGTTACAGTACACACACGCTCACTCAGGTATTCAGATGACATGAACCAGGTGGTTTGTGGGTAATAACAGGGCAGGATGTTTACTGCAGGAAGGAATGTGAACAATGTGGGAAAGCGCACACTAATTCCAGGTTTGACGTCTTGTGTTGTTCTAGTCTGCACGCTTCAGTCCTTCTTTGGGGCCCTGCGGTAGTTTCTACTCCTTTTTTGTTCCATGTTCTTGACTGAACCTACGAAACTTTTGCTCCAAATATGACCAGTTGGGATTTCCTCCCCCATCAGGAGCAGATCGTGATACACTAAGTCGTGAATAATGTGTTTAGCTCTAGGCGCTCACACTTCCACTTTAATTATCTGATCTTTAACCCTTTACAGCCGATCGGAGCGGGCACGCTCTGTTTTGCGTAACTATTTTTAAATCCCGGTAGCTCTGCAACCAAGTAAGCTAGCGCAATAATTTTTTTTGCATATGAAACTGGAGGAGTTGTACTTACATCTTATGCCATCAGCTTGTCCTCGGTCACAGTTTCCTTCCACATATAGCTTTGCAAAAACTGCATAAAAATCACTTGCAGCAACAAAAACATGATATTCCAGAAACACGCTTCGCCGATCCATCAGCTGTTTGTAACACTTCCTACGTCCATCAGCGCGAACTATCACATGACCGCATGACCTGCCCGAAACCGGAAGTGACGTCATTTTGCGGAAATGTAGTTTTTTACGATCGGGGCCTTATGAGCTTGTGTTTTACTTGTTATGTGTTTTAAAAAGTTATGTTTGACTTTATGACTTTCTGTGTCGTTTCTGGGATGCTTAGGACTCATATTGCACTGCTGGAAATAGTTTATTTTGATGCATATGCTGTTATTTTGCAAATTTGCACTATAATATTTATTTTCGTTTTTCCTGCAGTGTATAAAAATTGGTGTATTTCAAAAATAAAACTATGAAGACACTCAAAATAAATTTCCTGTGGTGGGAAACTAGTTTGTAACTTTTTTGTATTTACAGTTTTGAGGGATAAGCCTCTTAAATTTCTCTAACTAGAAATATATGTTAAAAAAACAAAAACGATTTTCAATTTTTTTGTAGTTTATTGCACTTTTTTGCAATTTATGTAATTACTATGCACCTAATGCAGATATATTATTAAAGTTTGGGCTATAATGGTTGTATTGATGTATAGCAACTTGAAATGCTCCCAAAAATGGCTCCACAGCATGTAAAAATATAATATAAGCTCTGGCGAACTTGGTTCTATGGTAGGTCTTAAAGGGTTAATTACATTTAGATATAATTTGTCTTCTTGTGACCCATATCTGGGGGTTCCTTTTACACTTATTTTATGCTCGGCCACTTTTATAGAGCATCAGCAACAACAACAAAGCTAATGCTGGTGGATCTACTGAGATCGACTAGTTAAGCACACTCCAGACTCTTCCTCTGTGTTTGTGGATAAATGAAGCCTGTTTCTGACGTTGCTGGTGTTCTTCTAGACGTCTTATTAGCAGCCATATAAGCTGCTTTAGCCTTCCTACAGCTGTTGTGCATCTGCAAGTTGCTTTGCAACCCATCTCCTCCATTTCATGCTGTTTATGACTGAATGAATACATATTGTGACAGACAGTTTGATTTTTGATTTGTTAAACTGTAAGTTTGGTGTGTTTACAGTCTGGTGGTGGAGATGCAGGTTTGTTTTTAGCCCCACAGGTGTGGACCTGGATCATATGAAATGGTTTCTTCTCCTTCTTTGTTCTTCTGTGAACTTTGTCTTAGGCTTGAGTGATCTCCATAGTGTTATCGTGGGATCACGCTATCCTCCCTCCCTGATGCACACCGAGAAAGTAAAGCAAGAAGAGAAAGTAATGTAAGCTGTCCCAGCTGAAGAGCCTCGTTCGCCTATCGATTAATGATTCAGTCAGTAGTAATTAGTGAGCTGAAGTGGATGGACATCAGTTGAGCAGATAAAGTGTTATTAAGTCATAACATCTGCCTGCCTTTTGTCTTCTTCATAGCTCCACTAACTCGTCCAGTCCGCTTTGTAATTGTGTAAAACGTGTCACCAGTCTCTCCTCCACTCATCATCGAGCTCTCCACACAAACAGCCGAGTCTTTCACCGGCAAATGAAGTTTAACGAGCGTCGCTGCACACGAGCAGCGTTCACGTCACCTGCAGACAGAAATAAGACAGCTGAACTCGATGGAAGTGTTGGTCACTTAGCGAGGCTGATTCACTTCAATACGAATCTCTTAATGATGATGATGTAACTTTGACACGCCAGCGAAGGCGTGTCAAACTTATTTTAGTTCATGGGCTACAAAGAGCCCAATTTGATCTAAAGTGGGTCTGGCCAGCATTCTGTAATAAGCAGTGAATCTGTTCTTCTCTTTTGGTTTTTAAAAAAAACTTTACTGCAATTCTCTCACCCACTTGGCCCCCTGCATTAATGCAAAAATAAGCTAACAACCACCTATATCAGTAAATTATCACTGATCAGTCTGATCATCATCGGTGCTCGAGGTTATCCATCAATATAACTCTGATATATGCAACAGATGGACGTAGCTTCCAGGAGTGAAGATTGAAGCCAATACTGAGGTGTCTTAAATGATGTTCTTTCTGATATCCAGCAGGGGGCGCCTCCTCTGGTTTAAAAACATGTCTTCGAGAAAATAACCCGCTTCCTAAATTTGTCTGCAAACACCTTCCTGATCGTTTTATGTTCTCAGCCGCTATTTTAAGGTGATGATGTTCATGTTGCAAATTTAGTTTCACGTTACAGAAAGAGCAGGTGATAAAGCAGGAGGAGTTTAAGTTTTAGGGCAGGAGGAGTGTGGTCAGACCCTTGTCGGGTAATGATCTGCTGTGAATTTCAGTTTATTTTGGTCTCGTCTTGACTCTATTCTGGTCTCTGATTGTGATTCTGTTTGTTCTGATGCCCTTTGATGTGTTTTTAAAGCACATTCTGAAGTTTTTCTTCTTTATTTTTAACTCTGATGAGACGATGGGAGCTGAGCTAGGAGTTAACAAAGGAACCAGTCAGGTAGTGATAAATTGAAGCTTACTGTGCTCTAGTTTATTTTTTCACCTTCACAGTCCTCCTGATGGCTTTTTTTTTTTTTTTTTTCAAAATCAAGATAATGTTTTCTGAAATGCTTTCAAGTGAAATCCACCCTCAGAAACTTCTTTGTGTCCACATGCTTCTAGGAAAGTGTGTTTCTGACACGTTCCTCTCAGAAAACTGTCAGCTGAGCTAAAATGAAAAAACTGCCTATGTTTTTAGTTGAACTCTGGTTCACGCCTCACCCATCTCCATCTGTCTCCCTGCAGAGAAAACTCAAGCAGGACTTGAACTTGCCATCTACTAAACCATTTACACCTATTAAGAAGTGTTTGCGGGCGGCGAGCAGATGACGCGAGCGGCACTTTGGTGTCTCAGAAGTTTCTGAATGAACTCGAGGAACACATTTGGACCGATTCTCTGCACAGATTAAAC